CGATCGCAGATAACGGCCGTGGAGAGCGAAGCAATAAAACGTAATGATCGAATAACAGCGAAATGAGACGAATGGCAATGATCTTCTCCCCCGAAATCATCTCTTGGGAGGAAACAGCTGATTGAGGATGTTTGACCTGGCGCGAGTGGTCGATGATTGGTCGAATTTCATTTTTTTATCGTCGTGATCTAAAATTGAACGCGATTCTGCTCTGGTTCGTACGTTTATATTCGTACATAGGGATAAATGTATTTATGCGCACATATATGCATTCAGGTACACATAGATGCACATTTATACGCACATGTATGTACTGATGTCCACACACATACATATACGCAAAACAAACATACGCACACTTAAAACATACACACACCTATGTGTATATATAGACAGCCTATTTATGTGATGCACCATTAATAAGTTTACGGTAAAACCAGTCACGGGCTGATCACGGCCGTGGCTTTCTCTGTGACGCGAGGTTCTAACGTTGTCTTTCTCGCCCTTCCAGGCTGACCTGCTGGAGGCGCGGCTGGGCAGCAGCAGCAGCCTGAGCAGCCGGAGCAGCAGCCCCGGTCCGGGCTCCGAGGGCGCCGCCCCCTGGTGCCAGCGTTGGTGCGGCCGCCTCTGCCTCCTCCGCCTGGCGCAGTTCACGCTGCTGCTCACGCTCGCCGCCGCCGCCGCCCACGCCCTCATCGCCTCGCTCACCACCCGCGCCCTGCCGCCCACGCCCTCGCCCCTGCACCGGCCGCCCCTGCCGCGCCTCTCGCCCGCCCTCCTGCCGGCGCCGGCGCCCTCCGCGCTGCTCGACCTGCAGGACTTCCACTTCCTGCACGACGCGGCGGAGTCCACGTGCGCGCCCGCGCGCCTGTACTTCGTGTTCCTGGTGCACTCGCGCCCCGACCACTTCCGGCAGCGGCAAGCCATCCGCGCCACGTGGGGCGGCCTGCGGGCACTGGAGGGCGGCTGGGCGGCGCGCACGGTCTTCATGCTCGGCGAGGGCAGCGGGGGCGGCGGGGACGCGGGCGGCGCGGGCGGCGTGAAGGTGGGCGAGCTGGTGGGCCTGGAGGCGCGGCGCCACGGCGACCTCGTGGTGGGCGCCTTCCACGACCACTACCACAACCTGACGTACAAGCACGCGATGGCGCTGCGCTGGGCGGCGTCGCGCTGCCGCCACGCTGCCTTCGTCGTCAAGGCGGACGACGACGCTTTCATCGACGTGCCGGCGCTGAAGGCGCTGCTGGACCGCACCTTCGCCGCGCAGCCGCCGCGCCGCACCCTCGCGTGCCACGTGCTGCCGCCAGGCACGCGGCCGCAGCGCAGCGGCAAGTGGGCCGTCAGCGCCGCCGACTACCCGTGGGCCGAGTACCCGCGATACTGCGCCGGCCTGGCCTACGTGGCCTCGGCCGACGCCGCCGACGAGCTGTCCCGCGCGGCGCAGGCGGGCGCGGCGCCGCGGGTGTGGGTGGACGACGTGTGGGTCACGGGGCTGCTGGCGGAGGCGCTGCAGCTGCAGCACCACTACCTCAACCTGCGCTACTCCTACGACCACACGGAGATGGCGGAGTGGGCGTCGCGCGCGCGGGCGTCGCTGGCGCCGCCCTTCGCCTTCGCCCACCTGGACCCCGCGTGCCCCGACTGGCGCCCCACGCTGGACGCGCTCTGGCGCCACGCCCTCGCCGCCCGCAACGCCTCGGCCGACGCCGCCGCGACCGACAGATAGGCGGGAGAGCGGGCGCCTGGGCGAGGCAGAGGCGTTCACACTTATAAACATTTTGCAAAACGAACTACGAGGACCTGCTTGTGACTGTAAATAATATGCTAAAAAGATTCCAATGACCTATTTTTGTAGACGCCAAAGCTATCACGCATGTTCCGAGCCTATGTGTCTGTCTGTCTGTTAGCGAACGGATTTCATTGGAACAGAACATTCCAGACTGTTTGTGTACAGAAACAGCAAGTGCCATTCTACATTCAGTGCCTCGACGCGGCAGATTTGCACTAAGGGTGAAATTATCATGTGATATGATACGATTCTGAGCTTTAATGTGCCAACTTTCTATATATATACCCTGAGAATTAAGGATCTTCTTTTAGCCCAACGGAATGTCCTAAAATTCTCCGTAATGTTTTTTTTTCTTCTTTTTTTTGATAATCTAAAAAAAAGTAATTCGAAGTTATCATTGCAAATTCATCTCCTTCTTGATATGCTTAGATATCTAATAACGTTATCATACAGATAACAAATAGATATCAATCAGAATAGTACATTTAATTTCATTTAATATCAAGAGACGATCAAATCCCATTAATCCGTTACAATTGATATTTCGAATTAATAACATTTTCTCTGAGAAATAAACAAAATTTAGCTCAGTTTAAGAATTAGAAAAAATATATTAACCATTTTGAATAATAATGAAAAACTACACTAATCTGTGATATTTAGAAAAGTGAGACTATGTGATTTTTATGTAATAAGTAAAATATGTAAATATAA